GGGCCGTTGCTCCCTGCTGCAGGTGCTCTCAGCCCACGCAGGGCTGTCTAGAGCAGGCACAAGCAGCCCCACGTGGGCTGCAAGCAGCTGCAGCAAGGGGCGGGGGAGGGGCTGCTTTCCCCACCCCACACAGCTTTTCCCCTGGCCACATTTCCCTGGGTTCCTTCCCTGCCTGGGCTCCTCCCTGCCCTTCCCCCCCCCCACCCCGCGGTTCCAGCATGGGGCAGCCATGTGGTCCCAGGCCAGAAGCCCCTGCTGGGGCTTCCAGTTGGGTGGGTGGGGCCAGGTGGGCCCTGCTGTTGTGGGAGCCCACCAGGCTTCACCTGGGTCCTACTGCCCTTGGTTCCTGTCAAAAATGAATATTAATTTTCTAAATTTTTTAGGGGCCCTCCAGACCAGATAGAATGGTCTTACGGGCTGTATTTTGCCCACCCCTGCCCTAGCCACAGGGCTGGGGCTAGATGATGCAGGAAAGAAAACCAAATTAAATGTACAGGACCCACCTAAAGCCAGTGTTGTATATGAAACAAGTAGATCAGGATGGTACATATGAGTGAATGTTAAACAGATTAAGTGTTGTGCTGCTGCTGACTGTGAGAATGAGACCTAGTGCATGTTCCTGTTGGTCATAGGTGAATTGCTAAGTTTTTTCTTTACTTTTCTGATAGCCCATCTCTTCCTTTTCCCTTTTCCTGTCTTTGTGACAAGGTATTTAGCAGAATTTGCAGACTCATTGGAATCTGGCAGGCTGTGCTGTGAACGCTTCTGCTATAGCCTTCAGCTTGCAACTTCTGAGCTGCCAAATGTGCACCTTAGCACCTGCGCTGCCTCAGCCCTAGAGTGTGTGTGTGTGTGTGTGTGTCTTAATAAATATAAATGTTATTAGAAACTGTTAAAAAAATATTATTTACATGGCTTTGTAGGGTTAACATGGGGTTTATGATGTTTAGAAAGACAATATGGGACCCTGCACACGGTAGCTACATGAGTTCATAGTTGATGTATGTTGGTGCAATCTAAGACATGCAGTTAGTCATGCAGCCTGCAGGGGGTTAAGATGGGGTGGGCAAAATATGGCCCATGGGGGGACTTTGTCTGACCCATAGTGGGTCTGTTGGTGCTGCCTGGCCTAGGTGCCATGTGGCCTGTGGTGCATCCCGCTGCCCCCTGGCATACAGCAGGACTAGGGCGGCTCCACAGTTGGACTACCTTTCTAGGCAGCCCAGGTGGTGGCTCCTTCCAGCTGGCACCGCCACTGGCCCCAGCCCCGTGGTACTGGGGACCTGTGCGCACAGCCCTGACCCTGGCCCACCTCTTACCCAGTCCAGACTTGGCCTGGCAGAACAGATGAGCTCTGGACCAGCCTGAATCTGTGCGCCTAGCCCCAACCCTGGCCCACCCCATGCCTACTTCAAACTTGCCCACCCATGCTGAGCAGTGGCAGCACTGATGGTGTCTGGGCAGAAGCTGCTGCTGCACATGGCGGGGGAAAAGCAGCCCCTCCTCTTCGCTACTGCCAGGCCTTTCTTGGTGCAGCCACCCAGAGCCTATGCCCAGGCTGCCCTGTGGCTCCTTTGGACTGCTACCCCCGGGTGGCCTGGAGGCAGCAGTGACAGCAGCAAAGTGGAGCCACAGGGCAGCTGGGCAAGAAGGCCCAGCAGAGGTGAGGGGGAGGGACTGTTTTTTTTTCCCTGCACCAAGCAGCAGCAGCAGGCTGAAGAGTCCCAGGTCCCTCAGCCTTTCCTTGTATGGCTTGCTGTGCAAGTCTCTGATCAGTAACGGTTGCCAGAGTCTGGAATGGGCTTCCAAGGGAGGTGGTGCTCTCCCCTACCTTGGGGGTCTTCAAGAGGAGACTGGACAAACTACCTAGCTGGGGTCATATGACCCCAGCCCTCTTTCCTGCCCAGGGCAGGGGGTCAGACTCAATGACCTACTGAGATCCCTTCCGACCCTTACATCTATGAATCATATGGGTGGCCCTTTGGACTCTCTCAAGTTTTACCACGTCCTTGTTGAAGTGTGGCGTCCCTTATTGGACACAGTACTCTAGCTGCG